CAGTAGAAAACTTTTCAAAAGTTGACAGTTAATACCACAACATCCAGGTCATAACCTCTGGGTCATAGGAGTAAGAGGTAACCAGGAAGAAATAAAGGAAGGAAGGAATACAGGGAGGGAGCGATGGAATTTTTGACAATTTGGAATTTAAATAGTGGCTTATTTGAACATTCTGTTGATTGAAAAATTCTGTCAATTTGATGGTTATAGCTTCTCAGTTTATATAAACGTTTGTTACTTTTGTTAATGTAATGCTTCAGGCCATGTAATGTTACATGTGGGCAGTGCTACAAAAACACAAGAAGACTGGTCGTCTGTTCCTATTGAATCACTATGTGACAGACGTAATTCTGCACGGCACACATCAGCAGATGGCTCGACAGGGTTTGTCAAATGTGAGTTCATCTCACATTGAAATTTTCTTAAACATGGCAGTACTTTTTAATTTAAATGGGTTATTACACTGCACAGTAAGTGTGCAATGGAATTTTTTTTCTCAAAGTGTACAGTAGTGCAAGGTGCTTAATTAATGTATGTTTTTAAAGGTGAACTTCGAATCTTATGATGGAGCAATTTCCTTTGTGAATATCAACAGCAATCACTGGCAATTTGTGGTGAGTATTAAACATAAGACTATGCACAGTATTAGATTTGAAATCTGTATGAATGAAAGCATGCATTCACTTACATCTTCATTGTTGATTAACCATTGTTCACACACACACTCAATTTTAAATACTAAAACAATGTCACATTAACATATTTTGTTTTCCTTTTCTGGCCAGTATCTTCATACTTTGTTTGGAAAAATATTTGTCATGGATCCTATGAGAGATGACCTTGAAATTTCAAGACAAGCTGCCTAGAAATTCCAGTAACGCATCACATGTTACATTTCAAATGGTATTGAGTGATTATAGTTATGACCAGTATTTATGAATCAGTTTTTTTTTTTTTTTTTAGAGAATACTTCAAAATGAGACAAAACAGGCTTGGAAAAGAGGAATGGATAGGGATTAAATGGCAGACTGGCTCAATAACCCACACATTCCAAAAGGATGGCAACAGTTGTGGGGTGTTTGTGATGGAGGTATTACCAATAAACAGAAAAATATTTTGGAAGGGAAGGGAAAGGAAAGGAAAGGGAAAAAAAAAACTTTGTGCTTAACTTTGAAGAAATTCTTTTGTTAGAAATTCTGTTTATGTGCTGTATGTACTGCATTTCTGAATTTTTTAATGTTTATTTCTTAAATCCTATAGATGGCAAACCAAACAGTTTTACAATTCCCAGAAATTTCCGATGCCTTTGACATAAATCCATCCAAAACTGCCATTTCAAAGCTCCGAAAAGAAATGGCTGCATTCTTGCTTTCAGCCTCAGGTGATGTAAAGAAACAATTTGTACATTACATTTGTAACACAATAGAAGTAAAATATTATAGTACAAACTGTTATTTTTTACTCAAAACACAAACACAAACTTCAAAAGATGACTTCTGTGAGTTGTGTGGACTAAAAGAGCTTCCACAAAGCAAGAAGACTTCAGACACAGCCATTAACTGGGTAAATGGCCTTTTTATTGTATTATTTAAAATCTGTTAAATAAAGTTGCACCTTTGGAATTCTTGGATTTCTGCATTTGTGGTGTTATCATCTTTCATGTTGTAATTTTTTTTCTTTTTTTGACTCAATGCGACAGTTGTGAACGTCTCAGGTTACTTATGTAACCATGATTCCCTGAGTAGGGAACGAGACACTGCGTCCTCTAGGGGTCGCTATGGGGAACGCCTCGTCGTGACCCGTGTCTGAAGCATACATTGAAAAAACACCAACAACACGTTGGCCAGCGACAGCCCATGACCCATGGTCACTACCGGTGCGACTATTAGTATAAATAGGCGCCGGGAGAACATGTCATTCACTTCTTCATCTGAAGCTTGCGTTCGGAGCATGGCAGGAAGCCTAGAGGACGCAGTGTCTCGTTCCCTACTCAGGGAACCATGGTTACATAAGTAACCTGAGATGTTCCCTTTCAAGGGAACTTCGAACTGCGTCCTCTAGGGGTCGCTATGGGTAACGTTATACCCACGCCGCCATGCTGAGGGGAATGCGGACCAGAACCATGGCGAGCACCAAGTACCAACTTTACCATTTTCATGGTGAGTTGCCCCTGGGACGTCAGACGGCTGTCCGTGACTTTATCCCCTACGGCCAAAGGCCTAGGCTACATACCCCACCTACCTGTTAGGGCCACACTCCTGGGCCCGGGGTAGAACTCAAGGCTTGGAATCATGATGGATCGCCGTGGCGTGATCCATAACCTCCAATAGCTCATCATACGCAGGGCAAGAGGATTGGGAGACATCTCCTGCTCTTCCTGGGCCGAACCCAGCAGAGCACTGACCCCTGGATCAGACGATGTTAGGGAAATAGCATCATCCTCCAGCGGCTCACTCTCGTCCACAGCCGATGAGCGCGAGAGGAAAAGCCCCTCTTTAAACTCATCGGCCAGGTCCACCTGCGATCCCCACGAGCTCATTCTCCTCCGTACCTCAGCAGCAGTGGGTCCTGAACCGCGGGAAGCAGATGGCTGCCCCTCTTTTCTCAAAAAAAGAGACAAACGAGAGTGGAGCTTTTTATTCGAAAAACGCTCACAATGCACGCAAATTGCCCCCTCAAGGACATCGCGTGCGTGCTCCTCACATGATCTCTCTATTTTTTGTTTGGGTGTGTCATCAGGTGTCAAAAAGCGACGACACGGATGCACACATCCTCTAAACGTTCTGCTAGTGCTCGCCATAATAATAGGATAGAGATCGCTCT